GTAAACATTAGTTATTTGTACAACTAGTTTTGAAAGTGATACTTTTTTTCATGAATTTGCAGTTTGATTAATGAGGGCGAAGCGTGTTATACACGACATTTTTTACATAGTGATGCATAATAACCCACAATTGAATAATTTTATTGACATTCGCGATTTACTGTCACTCAAAAATGGATGGTATTGTTCATAGATCGGACTAAACTCCATGGAAACGCATAGTAAAAATCGTGAAAAAAGTGCCACTTTCCATACGATTTTTCGTTAAAAAAAGTCCGATAATTTCATCACTATGTAAAAAAAATCTTTGCGCTACTTATTATAGTTTTTGGGAACCCTTTTATATGTATTGTAGTTTATGTATTATTTTTCTGACCGTTATCCAAATGGAAATGCGGTGACGTTGAAGATATTTATTATTAAGAGGAGAGGTGATGGTATTCGATCGGGTCCGTTCTTTTGCCCCCTTCCTCTCCACTCACTGTATTAGGTCGCTGGTATCTATGCCATCTGGTATATCTGGTTGTGCGCTTAATTGAACCACTTGAATTAAAGCTAAACCAGTCACGGTTAAGCCATGACAAATTTTTAAAAAGTGGAGGATGGGCTAACTTGACGTTTTCAACCGCAAACAGAAATGTTTGCTCCATTATAGTCTTTTAGGATCCCTTTACGGTATACACTGTCCAAGGATCTATCATGGGGATCTCCGAAACCAGAAGATACGACGATGGTCAAATCAGAGAAAAGATGCTCAATTAAAGAGTTATTATCGTGGTTCAAAGAAAACCATAAAATTCCGATTACTTCTCGAAGATATGCCAGAAAAACCGAAATATTTCGAATTTGTTTGTGATTATATTTGAACAGATACTAAAAGATAAAAAACCCTTTCGCATTTCCACTTTTTGAGACACACAGGAACTAAATTTTCCGCACTTCCTGTCATACTTTCGTTTAGGGTAACTTGGTAGAGCAAGATTTTTATTTATTCAATCATTTCGTCGTGGAAACTGTAAAATGCATTGACTTGATGCAAAATAACACAACAATTATTGGCCAATTTCGTTGGGAACGCAGCAAACAGAGCTGTAGCCTTGTTTTCTTGAAAATATATTTCATATAGTACAATTCTGTTTTTACTATAAGTAAAATTCATCCGATATTTTTGAAAACCCGCATTTGGTCATTTCTTTTGATGACAAAACAATATGCCAAACCCGATCACCGTATATGTATCATAGTCATTGATTAATAAAATAAACATTAAAAAAACGATGCTTTGTCTTTCATACTGGGCGACTCGCAGAGCGTTCTCACTTTTAGTGAACCCCAAAACAACCTTGTGGCGATGATTCTTGCAAATCGACGGAATGTGGAGTTTTGTTTTAACAATTGGAATAATTTCAAAAATACGACAAAAAATGTAAATCTATAATACGCGAATGGAAAGCTCTCGGAAAGATCTAAATTTAAAAAAATACATCTAAATCACGAGAAATCAGCTTTTGACTTTAGGCTTGTTTTCGAGACAACAAAAAATGAGTTTGTAAATCGGGTCGCTTCGAACGATTCTTTAAATCATGAACTTTTTTATGTTTCTATTTGACCAAAATGTAAGTATGATTTTTGTTAATCAGAATGCCAAGGGCCCATTACAGAATTACCTTTCTTGTTATATTTTGAGAGTTATTCCATTTGTTAGTTAGCTAAAAAAAATTCCACGGTCCGTCGATTTGCAAGAATCATCGGGACAATTTTTGGAAATGGATGTCTTAGGGTTCCACCATCAGTAAAAAAATTGGGAACCCTCTGGAAGTTACCCAGTTTGAAAGACAAAGCATCTTTTTTTTAATTTTGTTTATTTAATAAATGACTATGAAACTTAAGGGTGATCGGGTTTGTCATATTGTGTTGTTACCAAAAGAGTGGCCAAATACGGATTTTTAAAAAGGTCAGATGAAGTTTACTTAGTAATAATAGATTCCTAATTTTCGGGATTACTGTTTTATATTTTTCCATAAAAAACAATAACAGTTGAAAATAAACGATCCATACCTGTAGGTATCTTATAGAAAATTTCATTCTAAACAAATTCATACACTATACAGATTCTCGAGAAAATTATGAAGATAAATCTAATATAAATAGAATGTACACAATTGTTACCACATAACTGTAAAAACCGATTCAAGTGCTAATGATCACAGTCGAGACACTCTTAACACAATACAAAAAAGAAAAGTCGCGCGAAGGTATACAAGTATTACCCTTCTTCCCTTCTACCCTTCGCCTTAAATGTTAAGGCTTTACAAAACCAAAAATTGAGTTCATGGAAGTTATTCCAAATAGAGCGGAATTCGCGATAGGCCAATGTAAGATAAAGAGCTATAGATATTATATTTTTTC